AAAAAAAAAAAAAAAAAAAAAAAAAAGACACTACCGTTTTAAAAGTTTGGAGGTGAAGTTTTTTTTTTTTTTTTACTGTTTTTGGAATGTTCTTTTGAGAATATTTAAAAATATCTTTATTAGGATTCTCATTACTGTAATATAGTATTATTTTTTTACAATATTACAGTAAAATATTATAGTAATACAACACAATATTGTTTAATATTATATAATATGTTTAATCTAAAATTTAGTTAAATAGATTTTTTTCTGTATTACATTACTGAGAATATGGAGGGATTTTAAAAATATTTAAGTGTCATTAAAATCACAACGCAACATCTTTCTTAATAGTTCTAAAATAAGCTTTGTTTACTTTATAAAAAATGTAATTTCTTACTTTTCCATTTGATTTTGGGGTGAAATACGACCCGGACAGCGTTCATGAGGTTCCCCCTTAAAGGATATCAGCTGACCCGTATTCATCGTATGACTTTTATTTTGAAATACTCTGAAAGTTCTACACTGTTTACCACCTCTGTGAAACACTTCCTGTTAAAAACTGGAGCTGAGCCAGATAGAGGGGAAGAAACGAGTGGAAAAAGGAACAAGACATGAGATGACGTGACATGAGCTGTACACACAGAGAGAAGGAGAACGTACTTGTGTGTGTGTGTGTGTGTGTGTGAGTGTGTGTGTTTACAAGCATCCCTGGGTTGTACAAGTGTGTCACATGGTGTTATTCCACGTCGTAAGTGTTGAATTGAATCGAACGTGCCTAGTATACCTTGTTTACACCTCGGTGCCGACGCTTGTGTGTGTAAGTAAAGGTGCAACTTCCACCACAGTGAGGTGAAAACATGAGGAGAGCGAGTGCCCTACAGAGCCGTGAGTCTCCCCGTCAGAGCGGCCTGCAGTTCAGACGGTAGGAACACGCCGAGCTCGGTGATGATGCCGCCCGTGATCAGCTGGTGAGGAGTGACGTCAAACGCCGGGTTCCACACATCGATCCCTGCAACACAACCCAGAGAACGATCATATTTAATATTAATATTTTGAATTAGATTTGATTTTGAGATTTTCTGTGTGCACTTTGAATTTATTTAGGAGTTTTTTGTCATTTTTATTAGTTTTAGTTTTTCTTCTAGTAATTAAAGCAATAAGCCCCAAGAAGCCGTGGTTTACAGTGAATTTATAACAGCTAAGGGGCGTTGTTTGCGTCATGCCTAAAACCCCCTTAGCTGTTATAAATTCACTGTAAACCACGGCTTC